TCGCTTTATGCAGACTACTGTGAAGATGAACTGTTGGCACTGGGATATTAAGTTAACTTAAAACTGCTTGAATGTTGCAAATGTAGCTATTAGGCTTTTGTGGAGAGCTGGTAATACAGTTAAATCAGCTTTAAAATCAGTGAGGGGTTTTCCCTGAAAATTTGAGCCTTAGCTTTGTAGTTGGTGCATTCTGGATTTAGAGTTTGGAATATCCTCACCTCTTCAGCCAGCTTTTGGCAAATACTTTGTTGATTTCTTTGGAGGCCTAGCAATGTTTGCGTTCTAACCATGATACAATAAATTTTTTGCAGCCAGTGTGGTAGGTATAATTTATGAATCCCCCAGCTGAAAATTTAACACAGAATTTAATTACAGAATAGTTGCAAAATCCACCTTTTCATCTACCAGTTCTAAGCTAAGGGCTCTATCTACAATTTAGGAAACAAATGGGAGAAAACTGTCAATAACATTCCTTTTTAAAAGTTAACTATCACCTTTTCTCCTAGGCAGAGCAACTCTCCCACTGCACTGAGCAACTGATAATAAAAATAGGAGTTAACTGCTGCAAGTTGAATAGATTTATCTGAAGCAGTTGCTGTATCTCACTCAGTATAGGGTATTGCCAAAGTCTGTTTATCAGATGACACTAAACGTCTCTGTTCATCAGCAGACCTTTGTAGTGGTAGCTAATCCTTGACTCTGGAGGCAGCTGTCTTGCAGGTATTATTCCAGTAGTATTTACACCTATAATTTAGAGCAGGTAGCAATGTTACTTCTGTAAAAACATTACTCCCCGCTCTCCTGCCAGAAACAAAGGGAAATGATAACTTGTTTAGAACCAACAATTAAGAACACAGCCAGTTTCTTTTGAGTGATAACATGTTGCAGTGTCTATTAAATAAATTTTAAAATTTCTCCTTGTGTCTTTATTTTACTCGGAGATACATCTATAGCAGATTTTTAAGTTGGAACTCTGTGGTGGCAATTTCTTACCTCTTGACATTAATAGAAGGTGAGTGTTGTACATTATGTGTATTCACTGAGAAAAGTGGTCAGTAGAAAGTACAAGTCAACTAGTAACACATGGAGGAAAGAGACTAAGGTAGCCAGTGCGTGTAAGAAATTTGAAGTGGTTGAGAACCTGGTCGGTGTTTTCAAGCCAAGCCTGATGATTATCAGAACTTGATTGATGACTAGTAAATTATTTTAAGTTCTAGAAAGAGGTCAGGTATTAGCAGTGTAGGCACCAGCTTACATCAAGTCACCAGAATTCATTAATAAGGTGTCAAAAAAGATACTGTTGTGCATTTTGTACAGTATATGTTAATTGTATTGCCACATAATTATAGGATGTTCTTGATTCCTAGAAATGTTGGATTTCCCCTTACTTACCACCCACTAATAAGTTGGGCAAATACAAGAAATAGTTTTAATGCTTTTAGTAAGAGGTTATACTAGATCACTTACTGTATCTGAGTTCTTGGATTCATTAGCTGACAGGAAATTACTATATAGTGAAAGCACTCCTTAACTGTACATTTTCCTATCATATGACTAATAGAAAGTAACCACATGTTTTTACACTGTTGTTTAAAGTTTTCCTTTAAAGAGAAACTTCTGGATATATGGTGTGTAACTGGTTAGTATTATACTTTAGTTTGAAGACAGTTTCAAATATAAAATCAAAACAGGAAATATTTAAATATATTTTGTCTAAAATTTAGGGAATTTTATCATTAAAAGTTGACATTCAACTTTCTTGCTAGCATTTTTATTATCTAAAACTGGATTTATCTAATTCTCTGCCGATCGTTTTTAAGGATCCAACCTGTTTTGAAGTAGTTGGTTGAAATTCAGATCAGGGGTATATATAAGGGTTAGTTGTTGGTTGTTGAAGCAGATAAAATGAATAGCAATCTAAGGTTAAACGAGTTTCATAAAGCAAAGCCATGAAGCTTATTTTTCACCAATTTTGATAAACATTAACATTTTCAACTGAATAAAGGTAAAAGATAAATATTTAGCAAGTATGATTGTTCTGTTACTGTGTATGGTATCCAAGTCAGTGTGGGTAAATACTGAATATGAATGAGAAGGTAATGTGAATACGTCAAATATAAAGTGAATAAAAGGTTGGTGTAAACATTTACATTGATTTCAATGGTTTGCAAATTATAGCATGAAATATTACAATTACAGCCAGTTGGAGATGATGCTTTTTATCTGGGCACAAAGTCTCATCGAGGAAGCTAGAGTAAAAGTTTCACTGAATTAAAAATTAAATGATTTTTAGCCCTGAGCGGTTTGGCTCAGCAGTTAGAGTGTTGGCCCGCGGTCCAGATAGACGTGGGTTCCGTTCCCGCTAAGGGCACGTACCTTGGTTGCAGTTTGTCCCTGGCCCTGGTTGGGTCGTGCAGGTGGCAACCACTAGATGTGTCCCTTTCGTGTCAATGTTTCTCTCTCTCTCCCCCTCCCTCCCACTCTATCTGAACAAAAAATCCTCTGGTGAGGATTAAAAAAAAGAGAGAGATTAAATAATAATAATTGAGGGTCAACTTCCTCAAAGCTCACGCATGCACAATAATTAGGATCAGTGGCATTTAATTTTAGAGGTTGATTTGAGTTTTATGAAAAATAGAACATTAATATTTCATCCTCTGATCAAAAGTTCTAGATTCTGGTTGTGGCTCTATGTCATACAACACTCAGCAAGTAACTTTACCTCTGTACTTCTCAGTTTCTTCATCTCTGAAATCATTGTTAAATATGAATCTGTCTACTAATGTAGAGTTTCTAAAATAAAAATGCATTAAATTGTGTTATCACAAATGACATAGTTTTATATATACACAGAGAACTTACTGATTGTTTGCTAGGAACTAATGTGATTGGGAGCAAAATTTATTTTCTTGCTGTTTTTACATAGTTATTTTAATTTTTAATGTGTTTTTTTATATATATATTAACAGAATATAATATTGGGAAAAAAAAAAAAAACCACACCATTGAGCAACTAGCTGCTTTGGAATGCAGTGCTAACTAAGCTCATTATAGATTTTTAAAAATGTTTTTAGATTTAATTTGTAAAATATATGTATTTGTTTATAAACACATTTAATTTTTCTAACTATTCAAACTCCCAGTATACCGTGTGTTTCTAATGTTATTTTAATGTAATACCAAGCATAAGATCAGTATTTGAGAATTAAAAAAAAAAATCAAAACATATAGTTGTAACAGTCTGAATAATTAGGCTCTTTTTGGCTTTGTTAATAGTACAAAACTAGCCTGGCTCATGTGGCTCAGTGGTTGAGCATCAAACCATGCACCAAGAGGTCACCAGTTGATTCCCGGTCAGGGCACGTACCTGGGTTTCAGACTCAATCCCCATTAGGGGGTGTGCAGGAGGCAGTGGATCAATGATTTTCTCTCACATCGATGATTGTCTCACACATTGATGTTTCTTTCTCTTTCCCCCTCTCCCTACCTTTCTCTCTAAAAATAAGTAAAAATATATTTAAAAAATAGTACAAAGGCAATTGTGAGAGCCATATTTCTCTGTACCACAGGCCGACGCTTTAACCGCTGAGCCAAACCGGCCAGGGCATGAGAGCCATATTTCTGATGCTTCCTGACTTTTTTTTTTTACTGTGGTAAAATATACATGACATCAAATTACCTTTTCAGCCATCTTTTTTTTTTTCATCCTCACCCGAGGACATTTTTCCATTTTTGTTCAGATAGAGCGGGAGGGAGAGAGAGGAAGAGAGAGAGAGAGAGAGAGAGAAACATCGACGTGAAAGGGACACATCGAGTGGCTGCCACCTGCACAACCAACCAGGGCCGGGGACAAACTGCAACCGAAGTGCGTGCCCTTAACGGGAACCGAACCCGGTCTCTCCGGACCGCAGGCCGACGCTCTAACTGCTGAGCCAAACTGGCCAGGGCCCTTTTCAGCCATCTTTAAGTTTACCATTCAGTGGCATTAAGTACATTCACATTATTGTGCAACCATCACCACTTTTTTATCATCCTAAACAGAAACTCTGTCCCCATTAAACACTAACTCCCCATTCCTTCCTCCTCCAGCTTTTTCTAGTAACCATCATCTTTCTGTTGTGTGAATTTTTCTACTATAGGTACCTCACATAAGTGGAATAATCTCTCTCTCTTTTTTTCTTTATTGATTTTAGAGAGAGAGAGGAAGGGAGAGGGAGAGAGAGAGACAAAAACATCGTTGAGAGAGAACATCTGTTGGCTGCCTCCTGCATGCCCCCCACTGGGAATCAGGCCCACAACCTGGGCACTGCCTTGACTGGGAATCGAACCAGCGAACTCATGGTGCATGAGCTCATGGTTTAACCACTGAGCCACACTGGCTGGGCCATATATATCTGTCTTTCACTTAGCAAAATGTGTACAAGTTTCATCCATGTTGTAGCATGTATCAGAATTTTATTCCTTTCTATGGCTCAATACTATTTCCTTGTATGTATATTAACACGTGTTTTTCTGTTCATCTGTTGGTGGACACTTAGGTTTCTTTTACCTCTTGGCTGTTGTGAACAGTGCTGCTGTGAGCATAAGTGTGCAAATATCTGTTTGAGTGCCTGCTTTCAGTTCTTTGGGTGTACACCTAGGAGTGGAATTGTGTGTCACATGGAAATTCTGTATTTAATTTTTGAGAAACTGCTGTACTTTCCTGCTGTTTCATGAAGCCCAGTTAAATGTTGTATGTATGATTGAATAAAGTTAGCCTGGATTTTCTTAAATTTTAACTTCTCAGATACCTTTAAGAACTCAGAGGACACATTTAATATTTTGAGTTTATGATACTTGGGTGAAAGAGCGCTGATTGTTGAACTTGGTTATCGATTTCTCTTGGAATTTTCTACTTTGATTCTATAGAAATTAAACTTGAATAGTAAAGAAAAGTGGCAGCTCAAATGATAAAATAATAGACCTTTGACCAAATTTAACAAGTCATGATTGCACTTTGTTTTTATATGGAACGCTTCATGAATTTGTGTCTCACCCTTGCACAGGGGCCATGCTAATCTTCTCTCTATCATTCCAGTTTTCTAGTACATATGCTGCTGAAACAAGCACTCATGATTGCATTTTAAACTACAAGTTTTAGGGTCTTTGCTAAGGTCTTCGAGTTAGGGCCACTGAATTTATCCACTGTGTTGAATGGGTATTTGGTGGCATGAGTTGTCCGGTATGCATACCTACTTTAATTAGGTAATCCACAGTGTTTATAGAACAACAAAGTATAAATTTGCTTTCCACATTTTTTATAAAATATGTTTTTATTGATTGTTTTTAGAGAGAGGGATAGAAACGTTGATGGGAGAGAGAAACATCGATTGGCTGCCTCCTGCACGCCCCATACTGGGGATCAAACCTGCAACCTGGGCATGTGCCCTGATGGGGAATCGAACCGGGACCTCTCAGTTTATGGGACACTGTTCAATCCACTGAACCACGCTGGCCAGGCAACTTAGAATCAGAAATGTAGCTTCCTCAGTGGACTTTTGAGGAGAAGAAACAAGGCAAAATGGTCTCTAAGTCGTCCAGGTTTTTTTAAATCTTCACCTGAGGATACTTTTACCATTTATCTTCAGTCATAGTGGGAGGGGGGAGAGAGAGAGAGAGAGAGAAGAGAGATTGAGAGAAACATCAATGTGAGAGAGAAACGTCGACCATTTGCCTCCTGCATGACCCTGACCAGAGCTGGGGATGAACCACAATCAAGGTACGTGCCCTTAACCAGAATCGAATCTGTGACTCTTTGGTCTGCAGGCCAGTGCTCTAACTGCTGAGCCAAACAGGCCAGGGCTATAGTCTCCCAGTTTTTGAAGCTCCAAAAATTTTTTTGTTATTTCCTTGGAAACATTCTCTTGGCCATTAAAATCTTTTTTTTCACCCGAGGACATTTTTCCATTTTTTGCTCAGGTAGAGTGGGAGGGAGAGAGAGGAAGAGAGAGAGAGAAACATTGACGTGAAAGGAACACATCGAGTGGCTGCCACCCACACGACCGACCAGGGCCGGAGACAAACTGCAACCGAGGCACGTGCCCCCAGCGGGAACCGAACCCGGGTCTCTCTGGACCGCAGGCCGACGCTCTAACCGCTGAGCCAAACCAGCCAGGGCGGCCATTAAAATCTTATTAATTAATCTAAAAACAGCTTAGAATCGCATGAATGTGAAAAGAACAGTTGAAAAAAATACATTAAGTGATCATGAAAAATACTGTGTGTGCTGATGGGGTTTGGGTCAGATCCATTCTTACCAGCTGCATTTAAGGGATTGCTTGTCTTTTTTTTTTTTTTTGGCTTAAACATCAGAGACAAAAGCACTTTTCTGAAATAAGCTATCATGATTCCAAAGAATGTTTTAAAAAAGCTGTTCAACATGTGAAGTTGGATTCTTTTATTTTGTATTTTTTCTAAAGGTAACTTAATTACAGAAATTAAATCGTTTATACCTTAGAGATACATCAAATGAGAGTCCTAGAATGTGTATTTTAAAAATTTCTCCTTTTTTGGTATTAATTTATTTCCTGTGGCATATAAAAAAACTTCATTAATTTTTTTATCACTAGATGAAGGTGGTGTACCACTCAAAACATGTATTGCCTTCAGGCCTTCCTGTGGAGAAGCCTGATTGCTTTGTTCTTGCACTAAGTCCACTTTCATTCTCCTGTCCATCTGTCTGTTTAATTAATATTTGATTTCTTACTGTGTTTTAAGCAGCTTGCTAGGTACTAGGAATCCAGTCTATACAGTGCAGTATAGGCAGAGCCAAAGAAATAACCACATGCATGTCTACCAATTGATTTGTGACAAAAAATAGATGTGAGGGTTTACAAAAGAGATCTAGTTGAGGGTGGGGCTGGAGAGGGCAAGTCAGACTTCTTGGGAAATGTGGATAGTAATTTTTTTGTACACTTGTCTTTCTTGCAGTATACATTCTCCTAGTGGAAGGCCTGGTTTTAGTAATGTGTCGTCAAGATTTAGGATAATACCTGGAATATGGTAGGCTCTCAATTAAGTGTTTATTGATTTGTCTCCTTGCATGATAGTAGAGATAGGGAAGGCGGTACAGCAGATCCTCAAATAACGTTTCGTTGTAACAATGAGATGCCTAGGAATTTAATTCTTGTTTGTATCAATTATCCTGTGGTAAAATTGGTTTTGTTACGTCATTTTGTTTATTTATTTATGTATTTAGAGAGTATGTTTAATAAAGCTGGGGACATGAAGCAAGGACGGGCTTAGGATAGAAGAAGCAGCAGGAGAGAGCCCAGGTGGGGCTGCTGTGGTTTTGTAGAATTGTCACAGGAAAGAAGTGAGGCAAGGCAGGGCTGTTATTGCCTCACTGAAAAGTCAGAGGAAAAGGGCTCTTGGAGACAGGTTCAGGGGTTAGCCCTGGATCAGCAGCCGCTACCCATTGCTGCCCCTGCCCCGCCCCGGTTGCAGGTCTCCTGGGGACCCTTAGAGTTCAGGAGATGCAAGCCTGAGAGGTGTCAACATAAGAAACATTCAAACTGATATGCGACGAAGTGGGGGGGTCCTTTTCCCCACTGGGTGTTGCTGGGGTTGGAGTTCTCAAGATATTTTGAGAAAAGAAGTTTCTGAGGCTCAAATTGGAGAATGAGTGATTTTTATTTGTGTAGAAATAAATCCCTGTGTTTCTAAAGTCCCAGTTCCTTTAGTCCAGTCAAAGAAGAAGTGTAGCGGGGGTTTCAGTAGAGCTAGAAGCAAAGCCAGTGTCCAGAGTTTCCTTTCCACATTGAAGACAAGTCTAGTACCGCAGCAGGCTAGCTGCAGTCCATTAGCCCATTGTGTGTGGGGGATGCACATGGCTGTGGGCAAATGCAGTGAGGCAGGAGCAAAAAAGCCCGGAAAGCCAGAAGGCGAGCTCAGTGCTAAGAGCTCAAGAGAGTGAGTTTCTTTGTTTAAGGAGCTAAGTATTCCAAATCCTCCTGCGCTTGCTGTGGCCACATCCACTCTGGCCAATGACCTTTGTTCCCAGGCAGGTACCTTTCCCATTACCCCAACTTTACTGGGCATGTGTCTATCTTCCCTATGTTTTTCCCTCCCCCATGTTTCCTCAGAACACGCCTATAATGTTTGACCTTCCCATTGCTCCTTTTCTATTATTAATAACTAGCTAATTACGATGGCATCACAACCTAGAGAGAATTTTTGTGAATTTATTTGAGCCAAACAATTTCGTGGAAGCAAAATCTTAATGGATTGAGAAAATGCTCCAGAGAGGGGCAGTTTTACACTATGATTTATACATTACAATAGAAAGAGAAGACGTAAGTGGGTCACATGCCATCCATTGGTAATAGATTAGGGAGACAGGAGAAAGCAAGTGAGGGGAGTGGGGTGAGGAAACCTCTGGGATAAAAAGTAAAATGATAGCCCTGGCCGGTTTGGCTCAGCGGTTAGAGTATCGGCCTGCGGTCCTGAGAAACCCGGGTTCGGTTCCCGCTAAGGGCACGTGCTTCGGTTGCAGTATGTCCCCGGCCCTGGTTGGTCGTGCGGTGGCAGCCACTCAATGTGTCCCTTTCACATCGATGTTTCTCTCTCTCTGTCTCTTCTTCTCTCTCCCTCCCACTCTATCTGTACAAAAAATGGAAAAATGTCCTCGGGTGAGGATAAAAAAAAAAAAAAAAAAGTAAAATGATAGACACACACTTCCTTTACACAGGTGAATACGGGATAGTTAACAGACAACCGTTAACATGATATAACAGTGAGGGGATTGTGGTCCCCACACAGTGGTGCCTGTGCTTTGAGGGGTGTGGAAAAGGGAAATTGCTTGGACATTCCAAAGGTATGTTATCTCAGATGCCAAGAGACAATAGACAGGCTCAATTAAGGTAAAGATTGACTTTCATTAGGGAAGAATGCTGCCCTAGGATATGACTACCTGCCATGAACTGCTTTTAGTAAAAGTTTTAATTTTAGTCCATTTTATGGGATTACTTTAGGTCTCTGAGTTGGTAAGGCCACCATGCAGTCCTTCTCTGAGCTTGCCAGGATTAATATGTGGCCGCTTTTGGTCCACACATCCTCCTTTTGCTTATAAATCAGTTCAAAGGATGTATTGATGACCAATGTTTTGGTTGAATAACAAGGTCCCACTGTGCTAGGAAGGCCCATTCCTAGGAAGTCTCTGAGTCAGTGTTTGTCTTGCTGAATGGGATGGACCACTGGGGATGGGGCAAGACCATAACTTTTGATGGCATTCAAGGTTGGATTATTATTCAAAGGAAAAAGGCAGCCCTGGGCGGTTTGGCTCAGCGGTTAGAGCAGCGGCCTGTGGTCCATAGATACCTGGGTTCGGTTCCCGCTAAGGGCATGTACCTCAGTTGCAGTTTGTCCCCGGCCCTGGTTGGGTCATGCGGGTGGCAGCCACTCGATGTGTCCCTTTCACATCGATGTTTCTCTCTCTCTCTCTTCCTCTCTCCCCCTCCCACTCTAGGAAAAATGTCCTCGGATGAGGATAAAAAAAAAAAAGGAAAAAGGCAGGTGAATGACAGGTAGTCAGATACTCTGTGTCCTTATTAATAGTATTCTGGGTCATTTCTGATCTTTGCGCTATCATGATTCAAGTTTCTGTTGCCTGTCTCCCTTTTCCATATTTTGCATCTAGTATAATACTCACAGTTTGAGGACATACCATACACCTTTTCGGTTTTTATAATGTGACTGGGAGATGGGTTCCTGTTTTACTATGGCCCATCTACTTCTCATTGGAAGCACTTGGTGCTGTTATTAATCTGATCCCCCTAGGTGTGCAATTGGAAGCTGTAACCTTAAGTTTTAAATGGGGCCAAGGTTATAAGAGTATAATGCTGTAGATTACAATTACTATCTAAAATTTCAGAGGCCAGGAGGACAGTATGAGTTTCATAAGTAAATTTCTTGTGCCTCAGCATCAGTTAGAGGCCATGTTTTTATAGCCATCTCAGCTTCTCTCTGAATTATATAGTTAGTAGTCTGTTGGGTTAGGAGGTAAGCACACTTCTATAAGTAGGTTCTGGTGTTTATATATAAAATTCCTTTCTTAATTTCTTAATATTTCT